ATAGCTTCGTCAAAATAGTCAACTATACTTACTTTGGTAGAGATGAATACTCTGGCGAAGATAGCAAAGTGATAATAATAAATAAAATAAAAGAATATTCCAGAATAGGCAAAGATGGCTAAGTAGGCAAAGTAGGCGAAAATGCTATAGTAGATCAATGGTACAGAAATTCTAGAACAAGAAGGGTGTATTTCAGGGGCTAAATGCTAGTGGATTGTCACAAGGGTAAGATAAAATGTTGGGTGAAAATCAAGTGTAACAATGTATAATTTGGACGTGAAATTTTTCCATAACTTATCCGTGAAGTATTTTTTGGTGACGGAGCATACTTTTGCCATTCATTCTGATTATGTAACCATTCACGAACTTTTTTATATGGAAAATTATATCCTTCTTTCTTGAGATTTTTATATAATTTTCGATCATTGAAATGATAGCCTGTAGGTTGATAAAAAAGCAATTTACAGATTAAGTTTAACTTTTCATTTGGATCAATTCTAATAATAGGCTTGCTCAATTTATGCGAAGCATGGTCTAAGGACCTACTTATTTTCAATATATTTTACTATAGCAATAATCTATGTTTCAGAAAGCCAAGAGATAAGTCAATATAATATGCTATAAAAAATAAAGACAGAGTCTTATTACTTTGTAATAATTATGGCATTTCATAAATCCCAACCCCCCAATCGAATAACTCATAGATCAGCTACGGATAAAGAACTTGAGCTAGAACAAATTAACCAAGAACTTCAAGAGATATTGCAATCAGAGGTAGCCATCAACAAATCGAACGAGAAATATATAAAGGATCTGGAATGTAAATATATCCAGTGCGAGAATGAAATTCAATCTCTCAATAAAGAACTGGAACAGCTTGAGAATGCTTCGGAGAAAGAAAAGTCGGAGTTGAGATTGGAAATATCATTCCTTAAAAAAAGCTTATATCAAGCTAAAAAGAAGATCCGAGACAAGATATCTTATATCGATAATATAGAGAAACAATTACAAGAATCAGAAGAGCAGATTCAAAATCTAAGGCATAGATTCAAAGTTATTTCTTCTCAAAGAAGCTCTCCAAGTTTATATAATTCAGAAGAGGAAGATATAAATATGATGAATCTTGACCTTTTTATACAAATTGATCAAGGCTTAAATTGTATTGAGAATCATATTAGAGGAGCTGGAACACCATTAAATAATCCTATAAATATTATAAATGGTATTAGAGGTTTCTTAAATACTGTCCATCTTAATTATCAATCTGTATATCAGGATATAGATGGTTTTATAGCTCAATGGGATGATAGCAATAATCAGATAGTCCAGCTACAGCAGGATATCAATTACTATAGGCAACGGAATATCGTTTTGCAAAATCAAGTTAATCAGCTTACCCAAAATAATTTTCAGAACCAAGTTAATCAGATTACCCAAGAACGAGATAACTTACAGAACCAAGTTAATCAAATTATCCAAGAGCGATATAACTTATGAAATCAAGTTAACTGACTTACTCAAGAGCGTAACAATTATCAGAATGATCTTACTTTGATGACTATAGCTTATAATAATGAACAGGGAGAACGTCGTCACTAGTAGTTCTCATATCATGATAAAAATAGACGTGTTGGTAAATTAATTCGAGAAAAGTTCGCTATCCAATTATTATTACAGCGATGCCATACCAATAATAGGGATTTACAACAAAGGTATGATATGCGAGGGCGTTTGTGGTATAATATTACCTTGGCATTAGAAGAACGATCTAAACTTAGGCATGTTTTTGAAGTTCTGTATAGATTAAAAAACTATCAATTAGAACAAGAATTGCGAAGATGTCAGGCCAATAAAGGATTATTAGAATATAATTAAGATCAGCTCTTTGATAAATATTACAATAAATTCTAAGATCAAAAGGCAAGTCATATCAAGTGGAAAAATAGAGAGCGTAATTCATAGCAATTAATTTTAAATTTACAAGCCCAAATTTTATTACTACAGAATAATCCACTAAATATGGCAGAAGCTAGACGTTTACTAGTATTAAAATTAATACAACCGGCTCTTGCAAGTTTCTCACCTTATATTGATCAAGAACCTCCTGATAATTATTTTAATAAGATTATACAATCATGGGTATTTGCTGAGGGCATATGACAGTTCTTGAAAATACAAATGCAGGAGATTTTGATAATGCAGTCAAGTGTACTATCTTAAAATCTAAGATGGCTGGAAAATATGCTTCAGTACCAGCTAATGATCCATATATTGTTGGTAATCCACCCATTAATACTCTAGCAACTTTGAGGGCATGGACAAGAACAAAATATCAACGAGAAACAATTGGAACCAAACAATCTGCAATTTAAAGATTAACTCAAGAAAGATTTCAATCTTTTGATACTCTGGATACCTACGAAACTAGAATTTGATCTCTTTTGTTAGGTGTACCCAATAATGATGCTCAAGTCTTAGGATTTCTTAAAAGTTAATTACCAGGTGAGATTTTTACTTGGATAAGATCCGATGCTCCAGTAGGTATTAACGAATTTTTCATTGCATTAAAAAATATGTGGTTAGAACATACTCTAAACCTGTATGGAGGATCAAATTTTGATCAAGTCTCAGCTATTAGGTCAGAGGCTAGCTTTTCAGCTAATATATTACCTACAATTTCTCAGCCAGAAACCAGCTCACATCAATTACAAACTAAATTTATAATACCAGTACAATCTCAATAGAAATGATCTAATTCCGATAATTATCCTAGAGTATCAGATAAATATATGCCAGAAAGACCTTCAGATGGATATGGCGTAAATTCTGAAAGATTTATTTATGCCGATATCATAAATCCAATTCCTTCAACCAGTCAAATTATGGAATCTCTAGCTAATGATCTTTATAAAAAATTGTCTGATATGTTTTCAGCGAAACCAGTGCAATCAAAGAATAAAGATACCAGTATAGATGATATAAATGAAATTACTAAAGGTATGTCAAAATTATCATTAAATTTAGCAAAAATGGCAAAAGAGATTAATGCTGTTAAGAAATCATCTCAACATCGTTGTTCAAATTGTAATAGAACTGGACATAATTCTTGCAAGTGTACTCGTAAGAAAAGGTCCAAGAGCAGGTCCAAAAAGAGAGGCAGTGTTAATAAGGTTGCTGTAGATTCGGGTTCAAATACAAACTCTTCCAATAATGATTCTTCAGATAATAACTCTGATTCTAGAGATTCCTCATCTGAGGTTGAATCCGATCATAGTTATGATGTATATATTTCTAATACAAAAAAAAACAAGTAAAGCGGAAAAGTAAATCAGATAAATCATTATCTAAAAAGTCTAGTTCAAAGAAGAGACAGAGTCTCGAATCTCCGATTCAACGTTTTTTACAAAAAATACAAAAGAAATCAGGTATAATTATTGATTCACAAATTCAAAAAATTATTCTAGCTATGTTTAATGATCCAGAGGTTATAGAAATGATTAGAAACAATATTAATAACATGACTCAAAGAGTCACCCCTAAAGGACCTGCAAAACCTGACTTTACTGCAAAGCAAGACACTTCGTGCTTAAATTATCGAGAGCCAACTCCAGAAATACTTGATTCCGATAGGGAGGATGAAACATTAGATGATCTTATAGAAATAGACTTTGTAAAAAAGAAAGAACCGGTAATTAGTATTGCAACTATACCAGTTAAATTCAAACGTTTAAAAATTCTGGCATTGGTATTAGATAGTGATGCTGAACCTGCAATTGTATCAGAAGATATTGTTAAATGTGTAGGCGGGAAAATAGATATGTCGGAAAAATATGATTTAAGTGGTGTTGCTACCGTTCCAACTGAATCTGTTGGTATTACTTGTAATTTACCAATAACGTTTTCTCCAGGTTTTACTATATGTGAAGATTTTGTAGTTGTATGCCCCCTAAACTGACATTAATATTCCCAAATCCACTTCTCAAAAAATATAAATGTGTTGTAGATTGGGGTAACGATAAAATAAAGATTCATTATAATGGAGAAGATTTTATCATTCTGGTTACTATGCACAAAGTCAAAAATAAGCTCAAAGTAAATTGTGCTACAGCATCTCAGAATGATAAGCTTTTGGTATCCGATCAAATTTTACAGGAGGTCAATAGTAATGAGAGTAATAATGAACCATTGAAGAAATAACATGCTCCTGCAGGTTTTAGCCTAGATTCTGACAATTCGGGTTTAAAAAAAAACGTATGAGCTATGAGGAATTAGAAAAATCACTATATGAGGTACTTGAATCTAATACTGAATTAATTGAGCTTAATAAAAAACTATGGGCTTATAGAAATGAGTCTGATATTGAAACAGCATGTAGGCTCGAAGAGCCATGAATGTAGAGCTTTACTCATTGCTTCGCAATAACTCGCTTCTATGGGCCTGCTCTGCAATAGATTACAAACTACTTTAGAAAAAACAAAAATAGATTAATTGGAATCTAAGACTCTTTTCATTACACATTTAGTTTCTTCTCTTTCTTTGTAATTTTGTGCAAGCCTAGCTTGTAAGTCATCCATTTCATCTACTTTTTTTATCAGAATATTGATTATGCCAACCTTATTAGCTAAAAAGATAGCCGGTCCAATAGAACTGGATTCTGGTTTTCTTTTCTTTGACTTCCTATCTGAAGTATTATCTTTGGGTATTATTTCAGAAGAGACAACGCTATGTATTATTTGCTGTTTGCACAAGGGTATTCCTTCAGCGTGACGTTTCCAAATTTCATATATTTTATGGATTGAAGTATCATATTTATCAGCCATTTGCCTGTATGCATTTTTAACCGTCCCTCGAGATTGAATGATTTTCTCAATAGCTTCTGATAATAAATAAGGAGTACCAGCACGATAATATTCTATAGTTATATGTTTCATCTTTTTTATAATTATAAAAAATTATCGAAAATTATTGAGAATTATTGAAAATACCAAAATATGTCTATATCTCTTATGATAAAAAAAGATCAGTAATTATAAGTAATTATAGGTAATTACATACTTAATATTCAATAATTTTCTAAAAAAATCGGTAATTATCTATTATTTTTGAATTATATTAGAAGTATAATTTCTTTGATAGCATTATCAGATAAGTATATTTATATCATATATACAGTATGTCCCATATTTTGCTATTTTTTATAATATTTCTTTTTCTTTAATATGGCCAATATAATAGACCTTAAGAAAGAATTATACACACCCCTATAGTAAATTACCGGGATGGATTATCGCGATTGGTTAATCGTGATAAAAAAAATTTTTTTAAATCATTTTTTCTTCTTAATTTTTGTTGTGTACCCCAAAAATTTTTTTTCGTGTTACTCTTTTCATTTCACAGTTTTCTGTCGTACTAAAAATGTGGGGTTCCAAGCTAAGCCCCCAACAACGTGAACAAATAATCGGCACACATTTTTCAGGTACTAAAGGCAAAATTATTTTCTCTCAACTTGGTATACCTTCCTCAACCGTTTATGACACAATAAATCGCTATAAAAAAAACAGTTCCTCTTACCCTAATATGCATCCTGGACAATTAAAATCCCTTTCTGACCATGATTAGCGGATAGTGCGACGTTATATTCAAAAAGATCGTTTCGTGCCCCTAGGCAACATTTCGAATGACATAAACATCCACCTCACCTTAACATTTCATGCAAATACTATTCAAAACTACTTACACAAAATGGGACTAGGGAGTTGCACAGCACGAAAAAAGCCTTTTTTATCAAATAAACAACGTTTAGCTTGACTTAATTGGTGCAGAACCAAACATGACTGGGACAAGGAATGGAAATGAATTGTGTGATCTGACGAATCACGATTCGCCTTATTCGAGTCTGACGAATGAGTATGAGTTTGGCGCAGAATTGGGGAAAAATACAATATAGACTACATTAAGCCTACTATAAAATTTGGCGGGGGATCATCTATGTTTTGGGGCTGTTTCTCGTGGAATGGTATTGGCCCCTTAGTACTCGTGGATCAAACAATGAATTCGGAGGCTTACGTAAACGTTTTAATCACTAACTTTATACCTTGGGTTCGTAATAGTCCAGGCGTCATATTTTAACAAGATGGTGCCAGTTGTCACACCGCTCAATATACGGCTTGGTGGCTCGAATCACATGCGATTCAAGTCTTGGATTGGATTGTTCAAAGTTCTGACCTCAATCCAATTGAGAATTTGTGAAACCATTTGGATCGTCAGATCCGAAAAAGAAAACCTTTACCCATATCTAGACAAGAATTTATTCATATTATACAAGAGGAATGGGAAAAAATAAGCATTGAAATGGTACGGCACATAATTTTAAGCTTGCCTCGACATGTCAAAGCAATTATTAAGGCTAAGGATAAAAATACGAAATATTAATATATCATGTTTTGAATCGCGCGAAAATAAATTATGATTATTATAGTTTATTTTATTTTTTGCTGACTATACATAAATTAATGAAAGTTAAATAAAATTAAAATTAAAAAAAAAAAAAAAACGATCATTTATCGACTCACGTGAAAATCCCGGTAATTTACCGTAGGGGTGTGTATAATGCCCTCCAAGATTCTTCTGAGATAATTTCATACAATGTTAAATTACGGGATAAGTATGAAAAACAAGAAAAAAATTTAATCGGGAGAGAAAAAAGTGGAATAAAAAACTAGGAGATGCTGTTACCGAGAACCAAAACCTGCAGTTTGAAAATATTAGCAAAAATATCTCTCTTGCAAAATCCAAGACTAAGTATGCTACAAAATTAGAGGAGATTAAATCACTTTGCAGTGGGGTGGAATTATTGAAGAGTAAGTTAGATTTATCTCAGAAGGATTCATCAAAGAAAGGGTTTGAAATCATGTCTCTCAAGTTTAAGATAGTTAAATTAGTTATAAAGATTAGCAAATTGGAGCGTCTGAAATCTGAGAATATATCGGGATCTATAGGTTCTGTGAGCTATGACCCAAAGGGTCGCCTAGGCACACAAGTGCCATTGTTCCATAATATGGCCTGCTCTACAATAATCGGTGGAGATGATGAAAAAATACGCAAAGTGAGGAACAAAGTTCCATAACCAAGTCTGACGATATATCTGCAGTAATTGAGGAATCAGAGATTCGAGACATAGCCTCATCTAGCAAAAATCTAAGTAAATATTTATACGTAGAAAAAATACACTGTGTGAGGAACAAAGTTCCATGGATTCAATAGAAAAAATTAATAGTAATATATTGACATATACTAGTGATGAGATTACTGAACTACCAAAAAATGATATCGTGATTAGTCCTAAGATAAATGAGGAAAATAACATTAGTGAAATTGGCGAGGATATTACACTCCAACCTCAAGAAATCCTGAATATAACTCCTTACTTTGTACAGCTGGAAAATAATAGTAGAGCTAGTGCCAAAGCACATATGTCCTTATTGATTAAATCGAATTCTCAAATTTCGATAGGAGGAATAGGAGCGATCCCTGCTGTGGCAAGTACTTTGATGTCACCTCTATCATATATATTACTTGCTCTGTTAATTATTGCCATTATATGGTTTGTGAGATGCATATGGAATATAGGTATATTCAAAGAGCCAGGATTCAAAGAGTCATCTTATGGCCCGCTCCGCAATAAAAAAGTGATCGGCTATGGGATACATGGATCCAATAACAGGATGTTTATTTGAACTTCGATATTATTTATGTACGAAAAAATATTGGATAAGCTAATGTAATCTTACCTTCTTGTAATTTTATCACTCGATTTCAGATAATTTAGTTAATTATAACTTGGAGTATCACTTTTTTTTGAACTTGAGAGAAAAAAAAAAAAAGAGCACGAGAGTATAAGTAAGACTGACTTTTTAGAACATAAGCGAAATTTTGAGACTAAAATGTGTGTACCTACTACTCCGCACAAAAAAGAACTGAAAAATAAATATTTAGCAATCATTGAATATGCATAGGCATTATAAATC